GGGCCCCGCTTGCCTCCAGCTGTGCTGGGGGTCAGCAGGGGGCTCCACGGCTGCTGGGGGGGTCTCTGGGGGGCTGTGGGGGAGCGGGGGCACGGCAGGCTTTCACCCACATGTCTCTCGCCGCTCCAGAGCCTAACTGGGGCTTTTTTTGCTGTTAGGGGGTCCTTTTAAACTGCGCGCATGCGCAGTGGGCCCGCTGTCAGGGGAAGCTTCTCTCGGGCAAGGTGGGGCCCTGCCCAGGATTTGGGGGGCCCTGCCCTACTGGAGGGGGACTGTTGAGTACCCACTCCTACCTCTCTCTGTCCCTGGGGGACTGGGCCAAGTAGGGGCCTAGGCAGGGCTTGACCTGGCCCGGCTCCACTCAGCCGCCTCCTCCCACTCAGTGAGGGGATAACCCCTTCCCACCACGGGCCCTGCTTGCTTCCAGCTGTGCTGGGGGTCAGCAGGGGGCTCTGCAGCTGCTGGGGGGTCTCTGGGGGGCTTCGGGGGAGCGGGGGCACGGCAGGCTTTCACCCGTGCGTCTCTCGCCGCTCCAGAGCCTAACTGGAGCGAGATGATAAGCATGTTGGTGAATGATAAGCATGCTGGATCCATCTTTCAAAGTTCCAAGGCTGATTGATCTCCTGATAAAATTCTGAACACTTTCAGGTTCACCCCAAGATCTTGAACCATCTCTTCCTCTTGGCCAGCATATCTGGGTTGATATCTCTGGTTTTGTGCCCAGGTTGGGTAAAACTTGGATAAAGGCCCAGGTTAGCAATGTGGTGTACACACAGTTTTAGACTCCATCACCACTTTATCGTGTTCAACTATCTGAGAACTGACCAAGCCCTACTTTGCTTGTGAGATCTAATATGCTGTCAGCTGACAAATCTGAAAGACCATCATAGAGGATGGAAGAGGATACACTTGAGCATTTAGACTCTGCTGCTGAAAGATTAGGACAAGATGAATACAAGAGAAAATATCAAAATAATGGGCCATATTGATGCCATTGGACTCCATTAAAATCCATGGAGCTCCAACAGGGGAGACCTAGGCGCAGCAAATGAGTAGAATGTAAAATGTTACTCACAGTCATATATTGCTTCACACCGTTCATGTACACTGGCCCACCTTTCTCTCTCTTGTGAATCAATTCAGAAAGGTGTTCGTAAGCCACAAATTCGTTGAAGAATGTCTTGTAGCCAAGGAGACCACCAACAATAAAACTGTCTTCCCAGTCTACTCCCATCATAAAAGAAAATGGCATGAAGGCATAGGCACAAATGACCTGTAAAACAGATAAGACAGAAGGGAGGAATAGATGTGAAAGAACAAATACTACTAAATCACAAGAGAAGATTGATAGGAGAATATAGGAGTCTGACAGGTTCTCTAAAAGCAACCAGAATTTTTTAAAGTGTACATAAATAGGCCTTACTGCCATCTCCCCAACATGTAGAGGCATTCCAGGGGTCATATATATGTGATTATAAAAGTACAAGCTGTGGGTGCTTATTCACATGCTCCTTTGCATTCTAATTAGGACGTGTTGGAGCAGACTTGATTAACTGAGCCTTGTGTTCTAATTAGTGTATATTTTTGTGTATATTAAGCCCCTGCACATTTTAAACCTCATAGAATGAGGTTTAGATAAAGCATCCTACTGCCATTTTTAAGGGCATGGGAGCTTAATACACATGACGCTGTGACGTTCTAATTAGAGTGGCTGCCTGAAAACTGCTCTAATTAAAATGCTCCCCCTCTCCCTACCTCCAAAAATGTATACGGGCAGAAAAGTAGTAGTTCAGCATGCCTTTAATTTTATGCCTAAAATTAAGCACAGTCTTAAATGCTTTGTTGGACTGTGACTTAAGATTGAGGTGCTCAAGAAACTGATAAGGGCCAGTTTCTCAGCTGATAAAATCCAGTGTAGCTATACTGAGAAAATGAAGTGTGTTAACTAACATATTTTTATTAACATGTTGTTGAGCACTGAAAAATGTACCCAAAAGGTTTGCCAGCTGTACGGGTTTAATTTTACTGGTGTAATTAAAGCAGGACTCTCTCAATTGTCATGGGTACACTGAGACTGGTGCAGAAGTACTTGTAACTGTGTGACTTATTTCTGCCTGGGAAGAAGAATAAATCAAAACTGTGTAAGGCACCTTTATACCCAGCTGTCTGCATATAGTCAGCTTGTGCAAGTTTTTTATTTAAAAATTTAGTAACCAAAATAAATAAAATAGTTACATTTACTCCAGTTCAGGCCCCAGACAGGCTTGTTTAGCCCAGCTGTTACCCTAGTTAAATGGTTCCAGTATAAGCACTTACTTGAAATTCACAATCCCAGCTAACATATTTGTTTTTAACAAATGTCTTTACTACTTAAAACATCAATTAAAATAATTTCTGACGCATCTAATTTTCCCTATGTAAGCAAAAGCTATGCAGATTAAAGAGAGAGAATTCAATATAGTGAGGACAATACCTCAAAACTTAACTGTGGGTAGTCAAACATATTCCCCAACCAAGACAGCGCTGAGTCAACAAAAGCCAGCAGAGCAAGGAAGGCAATCAAGTTCACAGCGATGTTTGCCACCAAGGGAATCGAGGCAGTGGCACCTTGGCTGGCAGCTTCCAGCAAGTTTTTTGAGTCTCTTTACCAACAAAAGCAAGAACAGAATTGGAAAAATTAAGCGACAATTTTCAGTTCATAGATAAGTTGAAAGACAGTAAAGGTTACACAATAGTTGGCTATAAACCGGGTATTTAAACCACCCGAACAGGCACTGATAAGATAAAGTTCCAAATCAGTATATTTTTACCCTAGATGCTCTCAGCCGCATTTGACAGAGAGCAAGGGCATGCACGGTGCATGAAACCCCTAAGAGAAACTCTGAATTGTGCTTTAGAGTTCCTCCCAGGGGAACTTATGATATATCTTCTGGAATGGCATTCACCTCATGCTGCCCCTGGCCCAGTCAGTGCCTACTGAAGTCAGCAGGAGTCTTTCCATTGGCTTCAGTGGGCACCGAAATGTTTTGACCCTGCTAGTGCCTAAAGAGATGCCAGAAGGGGAAGTGTGAGGCTCACCCATTACTACGTTATTGTTAGCAAGCGTAGGAGTTTAGACTTCTTAAATGTATGCCTGTGCAGGGACTTTCTTGATAGAGGACTCGGTGCTTGTAATTTTCAGATATGGTAACTAAAATAATCCATCTGCCTTTGCTCTTGCTTACAAGCAGTTAGTAAGTGCTTCAGAGCAAAACAAGGCAACAACAAACAGAAAAGCATCCTGTAGAACTGTATCGGGCAGTGAACCTCATTGGAGAATTTACTATAATGACTAGGACCTGGCAATTCTGAGTCTGTGAAAAGGACATTGGGAAATGCACTTCCATACAAATATATTTGTGTGTTTGCCATCCAACTATTTGCTTTGCGCATTCTTGATGCGAACTTAATTTAATATCCAAAATGAATGCAGTAATTATACCATATGTTCAGTATGATACAGTGGTCAGCAACCCCAGGCATATATGCCAGAGTGTGGCACATGAAACGGTTTTGCTCAGCATGCCACAGCTGGCCTGGGCTCTGGACAACCCAGGCTTGCAGCTCCCCTGCCATCCACTACTGGTACGCCAACATCTTACAAATAGAGGTTTCAAGGTTTTTTGGCACTCTGCCTGGTATAATATCTGAGTGCTTATTTATACTGGTGTCTGTACTACCCAGTCAGTTTTATTATCCTGTACTTACCCTTTCTCCATTTTTATGCCACTCTTCAGAGTAACCTTGGGCGTTTCAGTCTCAGGCCAGAAGATTTTGGAAATAGCCAGCGATGCTGGGGCTGACATCACAGAAGCTGTTAGGAGGTGGGAGGCTGAAATCTGGAATTCCAGATGACAGGAATTAAACCTTGTTCACTTCAGCTCAAAAGAACAGAGGAGGAAAAACTTCTAGAGAGCACTGTGAGATGCTGGAAGGGTTTCTCCTGCAAGGAATGATTAAAAAGACTAATCTTGTTTTATATGGGATGGAGAAAAATAAGCAGGGGTCTGACAGAGGAATACAAAATGGTGAAAGGTGTAGAGGAGACTGCCCATGCACTCCTTGGGGTTAACCACTGCCCCCTGCCTAAGGGCTGCCAAGCCCCAAGTGCCCATGTTGGCAAGGAAAAGAAAAGCAGCACTATTGAAGGGGAAGTGAGCTCCAGGAGCAGCAACTCCTGCAGCCAGAAGCTGTGGGAGCAGCAGAGAAGGGAGGGTGTGAGCCAGCCCCCATACACCCACAGCCTGCGAACACTGCTGATGTTGGCAGGCTGTTTCCTTCAGTTGCAGCTTTGAAATGTCTTTCTTCTTTGCTTCCTTATGGGCAAGTCCTTGACATGGAACAGAACACACAGTGCACTTTCATGATGTATTACTCCTGGCCTTACCCCAAACGAAATGTATGCTCCTAGGACGCTGCCAGCAATGGTGGAGAACCCCGCAGTCATGATTGAATGCAGCTCTGACTTGGTGACATGTGGTAAATAAGGCCGCACCAGAAGGGGGGACTCTGTCTGGAAAAGAAAAGTGACAATCAAAAGAGTAATTTCTGGACAAACCCTCATGCTCCTTATTTTAGCATTGTGTCTGGTGGCTTTTTTAACTACTAGTTCTCAACCTTTTTAAATGCAAGGCCTCCCTCAGAAAATGCCACCTCTTTGTTTTCACTCATTTCTGACTACAGAAAAATAATAGGGCAGTACTTCTGTCAGAGAGACCCAACAGGTCACAGTGTTTTTAACAGAATGGATTCCTATTTGAAATATCTGTGTTTATCATGTGCAGGGATCTGCGCACCTAACAGTAATCACATTGTATGGACCTAAGTAGCACCCTTGAAAGGATCTCAAGGGACCCCAGGGTGCTGTGGCTTTCTAGTTAAGAATCACTGTTTAAAATAAATGAGTGTTCTGCGGGTGTGAACAAGTGTTTGTGGGACCCAGCTCCGGTTTAGGCAGCTTAAATGAAGCTGCCTAAATCTAAGCTTGCAGTGGCATGTGAAAGCATTCATTGCTTGCCCAGCAGGAGAGGTACAAGCAGCCAGAGACAGGTTTATCTAAACCTCAGGGGTGTGTGTCCATTGGGGGGTGCCCAGTCGGGGTGGGGGCAGAAATAGCTTGGTCGGGGTTGCTGGGGTCAAAACTGAACAGCCCCAGGGCTGGGGCAAGTGATTAGGCTTTCCCAGCCCTGGAGCTGTACTATGAAGGCGTGCAGACATTTGCTAAGTCAGATTAACCTTTGCTAGTTTGGGTTAACCCTTTGTGGTGGTAAATTTAATTTCCTCTGAAATTTTTTTAATTTAAATTTTCCGTATTCCAAGTCAAATTTGCCAAAACAAATTCCAAATCTGAGAGTCAGTCCAGAAATGTAAGTGGCCCTACTACCGGCAAACTCCTTTAGCCCCATCTGGGGCTGCAGATGTTTCCAAAATCTTTGGCAGGCATCCTACTTGCAGGCCCAAGCCCAGTGGCTTGGGGTTCGGATGCCCCTGAATTTTGCTTGCCCCCAGCCATAAGGCTGCAGGAGCAAGGTAGAGAGGAGTCTCCCCTTTCCATAAAGTGGACATAAAGCCAAGACCTTCCCACTCCAGCAGCTAAGTGGGAGGTTTACTATACATTACCCTGGCAGGTACTATCCCCATGCCAGGAGAGCAGTTTTCCACAGGTGCAACTGGGAAGACCGCCTCAGTGGTCATAGTGTTTCCCGTGCCAGGCAAGCATAGGACTACATTTGATCTGAACCAACAAGAGGCTGAGAAGTGATACACATGATCTGAGCCAAAAGGCTGATTTTCCTTTGAGATAAACTAACTTTAGATCAGGCATACCATTTTTAGGGCAACCTAAATCCTGTGAATGTTTGCACGCTGTGCCATTTAGATCACCCTAACCTTGATTAGGCCATCCTAAACATAACACTTTTACGTACTCTCAGTATGCATATTGCTGAGTGCTACTTGTGCTGTACCCAGTAACATAGCTAAGGGTGGATGAGTGGGGCACCAGTCCCGCATATTGACTTTAGAGGGGACACCCTGGGAGTCTTTGCAATGGCAGAAACAGCCTTGCACCACAGGACTTTTAGGAGCAGAGTGTGGAGACACAGCAGCAGCAGCGAGGGTCTTTGAGTCCCTGAGTCAGATAAAACTGACAACTCTCCTTTCCCCTGCTCTCTGGTGCTGGGCACCTCCCCCTGCACAAGGTAGAGGGGAGTTTTGCCCAGCATGCAAAATTTATTAGTTATGCCTCCAGTTAGGCCCCCTCTGCAGCTGGCTGGAGATCATGTCTTGCTTGCTTGTGCTCTTTTACTAGGACCCCCACTGCAATGGATTGGCAGATGGCCACTTTCCTTTGTTCCTCTGGGCTGGATCCTTGCACACTTCACACATTGCCTTATTTTTCCCTTATCTCTAAATGTTCTTCTTTTATTGCTTGCTTTCTATTTTTGCACAAGTTTCACTCTCCTTTTAAGGAGGCAGGTCCCCCTGGATTATACCAGAGGTTCATGTGTGAACTCAGTATAGCCATGGTTTGTTGTGTGTTATTGTTGACTTGTAAGCCTCATGCAATTCTGGCTTTCTGAACACCAGCCACCTGAGCTGGTACATTAGAGTGCTACCTTCATACACAAAACTTGCTCAACTTTCTGTTTAATTTAATTTTTTGGTGTCCAATGAATCTGCGCCCAGCCTAAGGGTATTTGTGTATTATCTATTTTGTAACTCACCTGTCCCACAAATATGTTGCCAGCTGCTACTAGGGATTCAACAGGAGACGTCCCCATGGTAATCTGCATAATCCAACCAACCTGAAAATGATAAGCTATTGAGTAATAAAGGAGAAAATTCTTGTCTGTATGTCTATTTAACTATTCCATGCCCTTTAAATGAATGTGAAGAACTCAGAGCAAAGGTTATGATATTTCATGAGTTAGTGATCATCTAACTTTCAACTTCAAGCTATAGTAAAAATATTCAACAGTAGCTATAAAAAGAATCCAGTGAAGGAATACTTTAGCAAATTGCATGGATAATGCTGAAAGCTCTTGCTATCATTGGCCTGGAAACCTACTTGTTCAAATGTCATCATCAGAACAGATATTTTGACATCTCTACTGATTAGCTACAATTCCAAGGGAGTATATGAACTTTGATGGCTCCACTGAAACAAATTGAGTTTATATTAAGGCAAATAAATTTCCCAGATTGATTCAAAACAAACTCAGCTGCTGTCTGAAAGGAAAATGAATAAGAGGGAAAAAGTGTGGTTTTTAAGGTTCCATCAGTTAACTTTCAATTACCAGTGGTCAAAAACTGTATTCTTCATATGATGAGCTCACTGGACAGTCAATAAAAGAGATTGATTATGTAAATGGATGACAGAAGACATTATCCAATAGAACTAAAGACTTAAGTATTTACATTATGGAGCCAAACTGTAACTGCCAGCTGTAAAAGATGCATATCTGCTGCTTAACAGGCATAGAGCGGGACAGGTAACACCAGGGGTAGAACCAGGGGTGGTGTACTGGTGCAGCTGCACCCTCCTTTGATTCCTGGTCCACCCAAAGGTTAAAACCAACTATGTGGCAATGGCAGCAGCATTCTTATCCAAGCATCAGTGAGGGAGTCAATTGACTTCATGGCTCATTAAAAGCTACCTGATTTCTTCTAAAATCTTCATTCTACAGGTGTTAATGAGCCTCTTTCCTATTTAATGATTTTGATGTTCCATTAATCAAGCTAGCCTTTCTTCTGCAATTTTGCTCTCTATTAGCTTCTCCTTGTAATGTAGCTCCTATGTCACAGTACCAGAGTCTGTTTTTGACTTATTCCAATAAAGTTATATTTGTTTTTGCATCAATTTTAAACTGAATGCTACAGCCCTAGGCCCCTAGCATATTAGTAATGCTTCTAGTTTCTTTTTACTGTGAGAAAAATGTGTTGTGTTATATGTGATGATGCATCTCACCTCACCTTTTTCAAAATCCTAGATCTGCCCATGTGCATGGGTAACACTAACATATAAGTATTAGCCAGAAATCACTTGACCTCTCCTGAAAAAGTAACTCACATGCTTCATTTATGGGATAATAGGGTAGGTGTGATAAAGACTCAGCATTTGGAAGTCTTTGGAACAGAATGGCTGGCTACTAAAATCTGAAGATAGAAACTAACTGGATATGTTTGATGTGGGGTGGTAAAGTGTCAGAGGCGATCTGTTTCTCAAAAAGTAGCCAAGAATCATTTGGGAATACTGAGATTTTAAATTAAGTGGTTTCCCTTAAGACAGAGATTTCTTAACTCAAGAATTTCCTTAACAATGACTGGACAGAAAAATATGCCTGAATAATTGAAGTGTTTAAAAGTTTCAGCAAAAGCAGCAGTACTTGAGATACCACAAATATTTCATGGTCTTGTCAGGACTAAGCTACTGAGAAAGATTACTTTCAAGTTAGCTATGAGACCTATCTTTTACTTATACACATCTCTGAGGGCCTAACAATTTGGCAGGATACAAAAGTAACATTCCTAATGTTTTACTAACTCCTGGTAACTGCATACCATCAGTTTTATTGTGCTAATATTAATAGGGATGTTGGTAGCTTACATGGCTTTTTGAGGAGGTCCAAAAATGACTCACATATCTGGTAGGGCTGTGCGAAGCTTCAGTCGCTGATTCAATTTGGCAGAGACTTGGCCCAATTTGGGGGCCAAATCTCCAAATCTAAATTGAATCAGGAGACCCTTTCATCTCTCCAAATTGAATTGGAACCCTCCAAATCAATTCAGAGAGATTTGGAAAGATTCGATGATTCAGACATATACACAGCTTTAAATGTTTTTTCTACATACCTCAAGGTACCAGGTGGCTTGTGAATGCTGAGATACTGGGGAGAATGGAGTGTCCCACAGGAGCACAGGGGGTCTCCAGGGTGCTTGGCAGTGGACCCAGAACTGGAACCAGAAGCATTTCCGGTCCACTTCTGGGCCTGCTGTGGAGTGTGCCCTGCCGCCCAGCTCAGCAACTGGTGCCTCCTGGGTCTGGGGGGGCACCCGGGTTCCCCCCATAGCTGATTGTTGAGCCAGAGTGGGGGCGGTGGGGGGGACCCTCATGAGCTTGGTGGACCCGGAAGTGGACTGGTAGTACTTCTAGTCCACTTTCGGGTTTGCCACTGAGCACGTAGGGACCCCCCCACGCTCCTGTGGGATGCTCCATCTGCCCCACTATTGCAGCATTCACAAGCCACACCTGGTACCTCAAGGTATGTAGAGAAAACATTTAAAGCTGTGTCTACGGCTGAATTGCTGATTCTCTGAATCAGCATTGAATCTTCAGATTCAGCCTAATCGAATAGGGACAGTGATCTGAATCAACGAATCTGATCACTGTCCCCAATTCAAGCTGAAACCAAATCCGAATCAAATACAGCCCATTTTACACACCCCTAATACCTGGAGAAATTGAGCCTATGTCTTTTGTTGCCTGGGCTTTCACCACACTTTTGTCTTGGGATGGAATTCTACTTCCCTTTGGCCATCTGAATGGCAGTTTTCTTAGTTGCATAAGGGACATTTTTTGGCACTTCTGTGGGATCCCATTTCCTGAATGTGTAATGCTGTGTACATAGACAACTAAATACACATGTACTAAAGTGAAAGTCCTGGAAACAAAGGATCCTCCCATATTTTAGCTTTATTAGGAGTGTGGTTAAGGTACTTGCCTGGGAACCTGGAAAGCTACAATCTAAGCTTCCCTTACTTAGACAGGCTTTGAATCTACATCTGTCTGACTTTCCAGAATAGTTCTCTAACCATCATGCCACTAGGTATTACCCACCCTCTTCTGCAGTGCTTTTCTTGAAGCTGACCCCTGCCCCTTGAATGTAATAAACACTGGAAAAATGGATGGAGGACAGTGCAGAGGGGAAGTTTCTGTCTCACTGGAAGCAAAGCTCTAGGCTAGAACCCAGGCCCTGCTCCCTCACTCTCCAGGCAGCAGCTATCCCCAAAAGCTACAATTTAACCCTCTGTGCACTACATTTATATAATAGCTGTCTACCTTATATAAAAAACAGTTAACAAAATTCAAGGCTTTGGTACCTTTTTAATGAGCCATTGCATGAATCCAACGTGGTAAAGCATAGACATCACAGTGCTGAAGAAAATCACTATTGGCAGGACCTAATTTAGAAATATAAAATAATTTAAACTTTTAAAGTGTTTTTTACTTTTCTCAATTTTATAAGTCATTTAATTTTGTTAACAAAAGACGGATGTCTAGGAGGTGCAGATTTTGAAAACTCTTGGAGATCTTGAAACTTAGTCATTCATCTCATATGCTTCTGTTCTGCCATGATTTCATCTTTAAACTTCTAGGGTGTTTTCCCAGCTTTATTGAGTTTGGATGAATTACTTTTCATGATATTTTCCAGATAAACTGTGATCGCTTTGGAACTCTTACATCTCCATACAATGTATAGTTATCTGCAGCTGTGTTTAAATCAGCTCAGTATTTGGCTACTCATATCTGCTGTACATTGGCATCAGGATCTGCAAGTTCATGCACTCAATTGATTGTGTCTTAGATTTGGTTTTTGGCATATCTGAGATGTAAAGTTCAAATCTGGAACTAAACTACCACAGTTCTGTACATGTGGGTAAAAGGAAAGATCTAGTTCATACCTTTATAAACACAGAACATACAAAAGTTTCAGGTCCTGAATCTGGATCCAAATTTAAATTTTCCACAAGTCTGAGGTGGTTTGGACTGGGGGTTCTAGCATGGACTTATGTTGTCTTAACATTCATAAAATCAAGGTGAACAGCCTAACATCACTTCATTTAGCATATTAAGAAACACAGTCTATCAAAGTCTTCTTCTCTTAATTATTCAAGGTCAGCTGTGTTCCCTGTATAACACTGCTTATTATGTCAGTGCTAGGTAGTATAGAATTCTGCAACAGTAAGCAGGGACATTGAATGATTTAAACAACAGATTCATTGGGATATATTTATTGTATAGCAATGGACACTGTAGGAAAAACTCTCTCTGAGCATATGGTTTTAAAGAATTACAGGTGGAATAACATGCACAACTCACAGTCTGGTAGGTAATTAACTGCATTAGATTTTCATTTTCAATTAAAATTGAATTATTTGGTTCATATATAGGTTAAACACACGAATTGAACATTTCTGTGCTAGTAAGTAACAGGAAAAAATAATCTCAGGACAGGTCCAAGAGAAGTTAGAGAGATTAGTCAGATTTAAAACAGTACCTCAAAAGCCAGAAAGCTTTTATATGTATATGTGCAGTTGGAGAAATAACACATCATAAATAAAAATAATGAACATAATAAAAAGCAATGTGAAAAAGTCAAATGCCTCACCATTACAGGACTTGTCAATAAATTAACTTATTCCTCCAGAGGACAGTTAGTACAATAACCAATGTTGATGAAGCTCTAAAACACTTTCTGGGTGATTATACCCTCTCTGGTTCATAGCCAAAGCTATATCTGCCCTGCAAAAAATTATTATGGGGCCTCCCTCCAATTGCTTGAACTTTTCATTGTATTGGATGTGACCATTTTATTGATGATAGCTGGACAATGGGACGAACCTTTAGCACTGATGTACTGGAGGAGCTAGAGCTAGGGAAGAGGTTCACAGCACCTTCTCCCCAAAACTTTTACTGCCTTTCTTTTCTAAGGATATTCTTCATAATGGGTCTCACTTTTCTGCTTATTTCACGTCCTGTGTTTGAATGGTAACACAGTGAGTGTAGCTGCACTAGGGTGACCATCTTTTCAAAACAAAAAGGTGGGAAACATGCCCACCTGCTCCCACCCCCCACCTCTGCTGGGGGTATAGCCGGAGCAGAGTAAAGCCAAAAGAAGCGGGTGCAGATGCGGGTTGCCCGCTGCAGGCTCAGGGCTCCCCACCCTGCTGCCTTTTCCCTGGGAATCCTGTGCCAGCCACATGCCCCCAGCCCACTTGGCAGCAGTGGGGTCACAACTCCAAACTGCCACTGCCCCCACTACTGCTGGGTGGGCAGGGGGCATGCAGATGGTGTGGGGCTCCCAGGCTGGCAATGAGCAGCCTGTATCTGCCCTTGCCTCATGCACAAATCGGGGGGGGGGCACGTGCCCCCTCAAAGCCCCCCACCATCCCAGGAGTGCATGCAGTGGTAGGGAGCTGCCCCCCCTGTGCCCTGAATGAGACTCCCATGGCTCCATCTCATTCCCCAACCCAGCCCCAAGCTCCATGTACACCCTGGCTGGGTAGCATCTCCAGCTGCTGCCACTCCCTCCCTCAATCTGCCCTCCCATGGCCCTTATGCCCCCCTCCCCCACAGACTTAGCTGCAGGGAGCTGCTCTCTATGCTGCCTGGCTATGCTCTTGGCAGCCCCAAGCAGCCTGCAAGGGGAAACCTGCCACTTCCCAAACCTGGACCCCTTGCAGGATACCATGAATCCAGGACAAATGCTGTCCTGGAGTCATACATCCTGGGACTGGGACTTGATGTTCCCATTCTGGGACTGTCCCACCCAATTAGAGATGGGTGGTCACCATAAACTGCACAGAGCTCCAGAATCCCCTCCAGTTGTAGGAATATGGTTATTGTAAAAGGGAACCCTGGCCCTGTTACTGGTAAGTGGCATGCCCCCTTTAAGGGCAAGGTCTTTGTAGCAGAGGCACAAGCAACCAGCAGAGAAAGGGTTAAGGAAAAGCCCTGTAGGCAGGTCAGCTGACAGGGGAGTCACATGACTGGAAAAGGGCTCAGGCTTGAGCTATATAAGCCCAGAGCCTGCAATGGTCAGGCAGCTGAGCCTGAGAGCCATGAGGAATGGAGCCCTGTTCCCAGGTCTGCAGAGCAGCTTACCTTAATTCCTCGATCTTTACAAGGAATTAGGGTAAACTGCTCTGCAGACCTGGAAACAGGGGAATATTACCTGGGACAGAGAGGGAATGGTTCTAAGCAAACAAGTGGCTTTTGTTTTAAGTCAACATTCTTGTTGGAGCTCCAAGCTTGGGGTCCTGCTGGAGGCAGTCCCAAAGCCTTCTCCCAGAGAGAGGCTGAAAGAAAGTGGGACCAGAGTGTCCAGGAGCCCAGAAAGGGGCTGAGTTAAGGCTGGGACCCAGAAACCAGGCTAAAACAGTGGGCCTTATACAAGGGACCAGCCAGAGCAGAGGGGCTGAAGCCAGGAGGGTGGAAACCCCAACAAGGGAAGGAAGGCCTGAGGTGGCCTGGAGACTGAGGGACAAGGGTCCCATCTGACTGGTGACTCAAAACACCTGCAAGGCATGGGGCATGGTGTAAGGGCAGACTGGAGCCATGCAATAAGCCCTTAAAGTATACAAGGTTGATAACGGACCACAGGAAGAGAGAGAGCACTAGGGGCAACTTCCCTTTCACAAAGGTTTCATCAAGACATAGCAAGCAAGAAGGCAAGGCGAGACCCAGAGCACAGAAAGAGCCTAGCAGGGATGAGGGGGCCGGCAGAGGGCATCACAGCACCCCTCAGGTGCCTAACCTGTTACCCTTATCTAACAGAGAAGTAGAAGTGCCAGGGGCAGGAGGACAAGGACAGGCAGATAGCAACCTCAGGTAGCAATTCAAAATTACAAGCTAACAGCCATCCTTCTGAATGCAGCAAATGTAGGGTGTCTTCTGAGAGGCCATGAGACACTGCCTGCACTGTAGCTTGTTACTACTGCACAATAGCATTGAATGGCACAAAGCCTGATGCGATGCTACTGCATAATAGTAACAAGCAACTGTGTAGTCAGCATCACCAAAAAGCCACTTGGGAATGCTACTGTGCAGCAATGCCAGTTACTGAGCAGTCAGTTAGTACTTGCGTATGAACATACTAAATGACTGTGCAGTAACAACTGTGCAGTCAGCTTCTTGTGTAGATGCAGACAGTGTGTCTGATAAATGTGGGGGGGTTGGGTGGGGAGGGCAAGAAAAAATATATCACTTAGGTGTAACACTTGGTACCCATCTCTCTTTCTTACTGCACTTATCACTTGCCAGTGTAACCAGAGGCCTCCCTCTCTCTCTCTCATAAAATCAGTTTACAACCGACTCTTTTGTCCTGTGTACAGACGACCCTGTACACAGTAATTTATGCACAAGAATTTAAAGGGTTAGTTTAAAAAAAAAAGCCCTAATATGATACGACTTTTGTCTTTCTATTTTCAGCAGAAAGTAGTACACAGCTGAGTAGGAGGTGCCTCATTGCTGAGATGGCCCATTCTGTCCAGGCTAGATTTTATCTAGAGCATAGTATTATCTATTTGAAAAATATCAGTTATTCCTTTCCTTGTGTAAGCCTATGGAATTCAGTTACCCAAGATGTGTGGCAAATATTTTTTTACATATTTTACTCTGCCTGGTTTCTCAATTGTACTGTACTCAGTGATCCATGAAAAAAAACTTAGGCTAATGGTAGGTGGCTGGTTTAACTCAAGAGAAGCAAAGCTGTTTTAAATGAAGGCTCTCCACAGTCTTCCTTTCCACCAATATGCCAAGATTTTGCAGGATACTCTAAAGAGGGAGTGGACGCACGCATTATTTATGTAGAAAAAAATCTATGCACAAAAAGGAAAGCTCAGCCTCAACATCAGCTCAACTGGGAATTTCCTTTGTTGGGTGAGTTAGATTGTGGAATGCATTTAAAAATAAAAGGTCAAAGGGCCGCTCTGTTTTTCAGAGACTGCAAACAACTGCACCAAAGAGAAAGCAGGAGGTGGGGGGGGA